AAATGACTTTTGGGTGCAGTTAAGGGAAAGCAAAGGGGAAAGGACAAATGCAAACTGATACTCAGATCTGCGGGTTTTTTTTTTTTTTTTTTTTGCTCCCTCTGGTACCGTCTGTAGGCGATGGTAGGGCTGAGAGCGGTGAGAGATGAAGTGGCCGGGGAAAACGCTGCGCCGATGGAGGACGGCTTGTTCCTAAACCACGTGCCGCCTGCTTCAAAGCTTTGCAAAAACCACGTCCTCGTCTTGGAGTTTGCAGGGGTAGAGCTTGATAACCTTTGGTGTAACGTGCGTGGCTTGCAGATGCGTTCCTGGTGCTACTAATTTTCTTTGTGACCTTACTGTTGTCTTTTTCCCTTCCCCCCATGAAGCTGTGAAGTGGAATGCCATGGCCAGTTCCTCGGACAGTGAAGATGACGGGTTCATGGCCGTGGATCCAGAAGACGCTGTGGCTGAAGGGACGATGGAGCAAGACGATGAGCCGCCTGCTGAGCTGGAGGTCGAGGAGACCAGGCATAACAGATCAATGCTGGAGCTCCCAGAAGAGGTTTTGGAATATATCCTCTCCTTCCTCTCACCCTATCAGGAGCACAAAACTGCTGCCCTTGTCTGCAAACAGTGGTATCGACTAATCAAAGGTACAAACAGCTGTCGTGAGAGTGCATTTTTTTTAATTGTGGGAACACAGATTCATATCCCAGCTGCTCTTCCCTTTGCTGCGGCCTCGCCTGTTGTTTTCCCCCTCAAACTCCACTTCTGCAAAATGCCAGAAAAATAGCTACAGCCGTCGGGTCGCTTGCTTTGCTGAAGACATTGCTAATAATGGCACAGAACTGAGCCCCTCAACCTCTTTTGTAGTTCAGAAGAGTGAAACCTCAAACCCCCCACGACAGAGCAGCTCACTCGTGTTGCTTTTGAATGCTCCCTGTGCGCTGCTGACGCGCAGCGCTGTTGACCTTGCATTCAGGCTTCCTCTCCACCACGCAGCAGTCCCCCGTTGCCGGTGTCCCATGTCTAATGTGGCTGTAATTGCGCTTCGTTTGTGTCTTGCTCAGTAATTAACATTCCCAAAGCTTATGCTTTCGGCTGGAAGCAAAACCGTGTCTGGTTCTTACAGCTCTGCTGAAGATAAGTGGTATATAAAATCTGCATTAATATAGATCTACATATTCAGACTTCCTGAAAGAGTAGCCCTGAGATACAGATACTTCACTTTGCCTCTGTGCAGCATTAATTCTGAAGCCTTATAGGGATATTTTAATGCTAGATATATATGATACGACAAATAGGTAGGTAAAGTTTGGACAAGGATACAAGCAAAGCTATCTGCTTCGGTATTTTTTTAATACGTTGGATGATTTCTGTTGTGTTTCTGTTGGGGACACGCGTTTTGATTGCAAGCTTCATTAAAAACCAAGCAGTTTAAGAGGAGACCACAGTTAAAGCTGTCGGAAATGAAGCAGGCTGCTGCACGAGGGTAACTTGTTTCTTCTGGAAAATGCGGAGCGGGTGTCAGGTGAGAAATGCTTTTGGCAGGCGTGTGGGGTGATGTCTAATTTGTGGACTTCTCTGCACATGTGAAAGCATTCCTCAGATTCCAGGCATTTTCTGCCTTGCCCAGAGTTTAACAGGCTGGAGGTTAAAAACACAGCTACTTCAGAAGCAAGCGTTGCACAAAATTACTCTTTTTGCATAATTTTGGGTCAGCAGCAGCCCGCAACCCTGTTGAAAAGTTTTTTCAAGTGTCCGCGGCCCTTGAGTCGCTGCTCGGCTGCGCTTTCTCACGCGTGCTTGTTCCTGAAGCAGCCTTGAGAGATGCAAAGGATGCAGCTGGAATGAACAAGCACCTGGTGATTCACCCCAAAAGAGACTGTGGGAAACATCCCTGGAGGGGAGGGATGAGCAGCCCAAGGCGCAACGTGGCACCGGAGTGAATTGTCCGAGGGTCGGGCCTCGGGGGATGAGTGGTGCTGGGCAGCCGTGCCGTTTTTGCGGCAATTACAGCAAAAAGAGAGAGTGTAATTGCTAACCTGCTCACCACAACGCAGAGAGGTCACTTGAGGTAAACGCTCCATTTGTTTTCTTCTGGTTAATTTTTCCTGTTTGTCAGGATACATCTGCTATGGAATCTTATAGTTCGGATTACATTTCCCACGTGACTCTTGGGGACCAGCTGCTTGAGGACGCCAGGCTTCTTTTTTTTTTCCTTTTAAAAAAACTTCCTGCTTTATATCCCAGAGTGTGATTTCTTGCTGGAGGTGTTCCTGGCATGGGGCTTTCAGTAAACAAATCCTTGGGGAGGGGGGAAAAATCTTGGCAGGTTGTGGCATCCTCAGCGTGAGGGCTGCCATAGCATGGCGGATGCCACCGAGCATCTGCCGAGCTGCTGCAGTCGTAAATCTTCACCAGACCCTTTTTCTTCCGCAGGGAGGAGTCTCTGGCCCCTCTCGGCACAAACACAGCCACATGTACTCCATACACAAATTAATTGCAGCTCTGGGGCTGGCCTGCTCTGCAGAGGAGCTGTTGTCGGCCAGATCCTCTCCCTTGCGTGGCTAAGGAGGAACATTTTCACCCAAGACACACTGACTTTTATCATCGGTGTCTCCTCTCGTATTTATTTTGGATTCCTGGGCGGTAGCTGTGTGCACGCTCTTAAAAATTCATTATTGCACGTTATTTGTCCTCGAAGGTCTGTTAAGGGAAGGGCAGCTGCTCCTCTGGGGGTGTGATACGGGGACAGCAGGCCTGCGTTGCAGCAGAAGAGGCTGAAAAGCAGCTCTGCGAAGGCATCACACGTGCTTACCTTTCACAAAGGCTTTGCTTTCTGTCAGCTCTAGCTTGGTATGTTGGAAGTGTAGTGAATCAGTTCAGTGAACGTTGCTGATCTCCGCATTTGCAGAGTCCCTGTTCTTTATTCTCTTTAATCCTCTGAATTTCCACCAGCGTATTTATAATCTAAATACAGGGGTTCTTTATAATTGCTGTCACGCTGCTTGTGCAACTGTGCAGGCACGGTTCGTTCCTAACGTGCCCCAGATTTTGCTGACATGTTGTTTTTCCCTAGGCGTGGCCCATCAGTGTTATCACGGCTTTATCAAAGCAGTGCAAGAAGGAAATATTCAGTGGGAGAGTCGCACTTACCCCTACCCTGGAACCCCCATCACACAACGCTTCTCGCACAGTA